ACCTGCACCCATTAAACCACTATTACATATGATCTGAATGAAGTGGTCGTCTCCTTTCCATTTGGACAAAAACAGAAAGATTTTTTAAAAAAACTTCTTTATCCTACTATTGGTCAGGAATAGGTTTAGGGTTAAATAAAATAAAATATCAAAAAATAAATTTAAAATATTTTTTTTTGGCTTAAACGGGTATCAAATTCAGCCTTTGAGATCAATGTCCCAACGACTTTAGTTACTGAACCATAGCTACAATTGTGTAAATGTGTCTATCGGTACTTTCCTTATATAAAATAAGATCTAGATCTACCTTAACTTCTAATTTAGATTTTGAGATCCGTGTCCTGGTCTCACATCCACCAAGGTGACATGAAGTTGTGACATGAATATAGGTATTGTAAAAAAAAGAGAGAAAAACTTGTTAAAGTTCATCCTAGCTACAAAACTGTTAAAAATCTAGATTTATATTTATACCTTTGATTTCTTAAAGCTATCCTCGATGTCCGACTTTGATTATCACGATATTTAACTACACAATATAATCGATGCCTCTCTAATAACAATTCGTGATGCCTCAATAAGAATAGTATCCTTAGATGCCTCACTATGATGTATCCTAGATGCCTCATTATGATGTATCCTAGATGCCACAATATGATGTATCCTAAATGACTCTCTTTGATGTATCCTAGATGCCACAATATGATGTATCCTAAATGCCTCACTACGATGTATCCTAGATGCCTCACTTTGATGTATCCTAGATGTCTCACTACGATGTATCCTAGATGCCTCACTAAGATGTATCCTAGATGCCTCACTATGATGAATCCTAAATGACTCACTTTGATGTATCCTAGATGCCACAATATGATGTATCCTAAATGACTCACTACGATGTATCCTAGATGCCTCAATATGTTGTATCCTAGATGCCTCACTACGATGTATCCTAGATGCCTCACTACGATGTATCCTAGATACCTCACTACGATGTATCCTAGATACCTCACTACGATGTATCCTAGATACCTCACTACGATGTATCCTAGATGCCACAATATGATGTATCCTAGATGCCTCACTATGATGTATCCTAAATGATCCACTACGATGTATCTTAGATGCCTCACTATGATGTATCCTTCATGCCGTACTAAGAAATATTTTCAGTGCTCACTCAGTAATAATCTCGTTACTACTCTTGAAGACAAAATGGTTCGACTGTAAAACATAAGTCATCTTCCACTTTCTCATCTTACATTTAATATGGAAAACGATTAAAGCCTACTAAGTTTCTATGGCCAACAGCGAGGTCTAGTGGTAATAATTTTCAGTATATAAATTCAGGCTACATAGTCATGTGGTGTAAAGTAATGTTCCCTTTTCAGACCTTGTGGTCTATAGGCAGATGATGTAAAGGTCATCTGTTTCATCTGTGGCCAGCACAACCAACCGCCTTTACTTTTCCCCAAGTAATTTCAGGTATGCATTATAGCGCAGACTCAGTCGCCCGAGGATCCCGAAAATAAAAATCCCAGTCTTTACCAGAATTCAAACCCGGGACCCCGCGCCTCCAATCATGCCGCCATCTCGAATAAATTTTACTTGTTTTGCAGTAGGAAACATAAAAAATGAAACATTTTATTATAAGTAGTATCTATGTCTTTAAAACGACAAAATTATTGCATTTATCAAATTAAAAGCTAAATAAGTGATTGTAAAAAAAAAAGTTCCAATTCCATAAAGATACGACAATCTCATGACTTAAAGCTGAAAATCGGGACTTGTGAAATAAGACCTTCAGGAGTGTCACCAGAGAATACCAACCATATCCTCCAGGATACTCAACAAACCAGAACAAGACACTAGCCCAAAATTCAGACTTATGTAGAAAAACTATAGAGAGAGCTGCTTGATCTGGCAAACCACTTCGCAGATCATCTGATACAGTGAACTAGTCTCAATGAGAGCAATAAAGCATAAGAAGAGAATATAGTAATATGGACACATCCGCCTACAGAAGTTCTAAATCAATTAGCCATTGACATGCTGTTTCAAAATTATAGCCACGCCCGCATTTAACTGAAGCTTGTATATTACTTGGCTGTCCATGTCACTTATGTATCTTAACTAATAAAACTTCAAATAACTTGAATAACTTCCTTTTGTGTATGAGGCTAGATGGAACTTTATTTATAATATAGACATAAACAATTTGTGAAAATTGAAATAAATGTAGTAAACTTTAGTAATAATATTTTTTTTGTTTTTTACAAGTCACATTCACTTACATATAACCTCTAAGTCTATTTACATGTAGTAATTAAATACGTCCTATTCCTTTGCATTATCAAACATCAATTATTATAAGGGCAGATAACAATGGATGTATATGGTATGACATAAGCAGGGCCGATTTCGACACACAGTCCGCCCTTGGTCCTAGTCCAAACCTCCTGCAGATTGGCAGTGGACGGAACACAACATGAAGTACATACAAAATTCAGAAGTACCGATTCATACATAATCTGAAATACTGAGCACACTTGGCCAGGTGTTAATGCATGACTGTTCTTACCTAATGCTGCTGCTTGAAGATAAACCTAGTTATACATTTTCTGCCCCTAGAAGCCCCGTACACATTTAAGTCTTTAATGAACTTTATTATTTAAAAAAAATAGAATCGTATATATATATCGCGATAGGGTTAACTGTGTAGGATCAGCTGACACTTATGACACAGGCCAGTAATACAGTTTAGTGCGCTATTTCGATGGACAAGGGACAGTACTGGTATGAACTTTGCACGGTTCAGTGGAGTCCTCGAGTAAAACGAAGGAGTCCAGGAAGAGCTATAGAGACAGTAGAGTTTAGTACAGTGATGTACAGAGTAGCCTTGTAGTAGTTTATTGTGTCGCCAATTGTGTCATGTTGGCTGCTCTAGTTACTCATTATTAAATACCAGATTATTTGGAACTCTTGTTGTCAAGGTCTTGGTGTGTCGTGTGGAGCAGTGTTTACAGAAGTGCTGATTAGGAAAGGGAGACACGTAACAAATATATAACGACTATGCTTAGATTTTGAATCAATTTTATTTGAGAAAAAGCCAACCCATGTTATAAACAATTAAATAATAACAAAGGTTACAAAAAAAAATTAATTAAAGCAATAAAATCATTTGCATGACGTCATTAGGACAACGTTAGTGGAGAGAGGGGACAGGCAGAATGCTAGGTCAAGCAGAAGTGACCATTTGCTATCAATCTAAAAATATATATAAAAGGCTTACAATCTTTATACAGAAGTTTTGCTTTTTTTTAAAGGAAATTTGCTATCTGTGGAAGGGCGGAGAGAGCACTCTTCAAATGCGCTTTCCCTTGAATTTAATCTCTATGGATTTCCCCCCATAATCACATTTTCCAATTGTGTTGTTTGTAAAAAAAAAGAATGAGGAGACTGAAAAACAACAAACATAAAACATTCAAATAAAATTAATTAAAAGTAGCTATTTTAAAACAAAAAAAAATGTTATTAAATTTTTTAAATCTAATAACTTGATAAAATTAATAACTCTTCTGTCTTCTTCATTAAGCTAAATAGCAAAATCATATATAAATTACTAATACAAGATTGTTCTTACAAAAGCAGGCATACCCCCAAGATACTGGAAGAGTTAATAAGGGGTACGCGTTGCACATGGTTAACTATGCTGTTTTTTGTTGTTTGTTTTAAATACCCTTTCAGTGTTTAAATTATAATAAAATATAATAAGTTTTAAATCTTTTTTATTATTTATTTCAGTTTTTAGAAATTCAAATACGGCGCTTTTTTACATTTTAAGTTCTACAAAGATCAGGAAATGTAAAATGTTTTACATGTTTCGGATGTTCCTTTAGAGTTGAAGATAATTACTTCCTAGTCCAAACCTCCCGCAGGACGACGGGGGATGGGAGCGGGCAGGGTTTGAACCCGGGACCATCGATAAATCTAAACGACAGTCCAGCGTGCAAACCGCACGACCAGGCAGCCATCCTAATAGATAGGGATGCTACAACTATGTTTTAATTTTTTTAGAATGTATTTGATATGTCTCTAAACTCTGAAGTATGCAAAATTAAACTCACTAGTTGAATTTTTAACATTTTAAAATAATATTTAATTGTGATAGAGTGGTCATTATTTTGTGTACGTATGCCTACAAACAATTAAATAAAATACATTTGGTGAAGGGGGGGGGGGGGCGAGAGGTACTCAGCGTTACGAAAACTCTAGAAGGGGTACGCATTAGTCAAAAGTTTGGGAAACACTGATATAGATGGACAAAAAAGTTTGCTTATCGCATTGGACAATGCTTCAAACTGATAATGGTAATAGTTAATATTATTTAACCCTAATGATAATCAATTTATGCTCATGGACAGAATTCCAGAATCTATCAACATTTTTGAAATAAAAAACCCAACAAGTTGGCTGCTCACAAAAACTGGATTACTACAAATACTATGAAAACTTTCAATGGAACAGCAGGCCGAGTAGTTTGTCTATGTCTAGACTGTACATAATGTATTCGCTAACAATGACACTGACATTAGATACAGACAGAGCGTCTCTTTTATCAACAGGGACAAAACCTATGAATTCTTCTCGAATACGATCGACATGAACAAATCCAACGCTCAAACACATCAATTCAGTGCCAGAAATATCTGCATTTTCATTATCGAAATACTAAGAGAACGCATTTAATTCATGCTGTTGCCAGTACTCCGTCGATACAAATCAATAATTTGACACAGACGATGGCATGTGAAAAATCTTCTTACAGCTCTTCTTTTGCGACCTGATGGTCAGCCATCAATTCCTGATAAGTCTAGGCTAGTCTACTACAACTGCACTTCAGTCACCAGTGTAAGCACTACTTGTTCAGTTGTTGTTGAGATTTTGATTGATCTGATGGTGCAAAAAAAAAAGGGCTAGAATTTGGCTGCTCCGAATCCACTTGCAACCCCCCCCCCCCCACTCAGCGGGCGCCCATGGTTATGAGCTGCATATTTATTAAGCATAAAAGAAGTTATTAAAAGCTCTAAAAAATCGAATGAATAATGTTTAAAACAACTCTTTAATCATTAACATGTAGATAGACTAGACTAATGTTAATCATCAAATGAGTTATTAAAATCAAAAAGAAGCCAACATTAACCTAAAAATTCTAATGAATAATACCTAAAATAACTTTAATCAAAAGTATGTAAGTATTAAGGAAGTAATAATGGTATCAACGCCAAACATCATACGCGTAATTAAAATAAAAGGAACCCAAGATTAACCTAAAGAAATCTAATGCATAATGCAAAGAAAAACTACAGTGGTATTACATTCCTCATTGTGTTATTGATATGATCTTATCTTATATAATACAGACGTTACTTCAAAAAAGAAGATGATCACGTCCTACGCGTCATGCATATCAACCAATGACTTAAATTCTGCCAAGTCACTGGTTTTTCTGGCTAGCTCAGGCAATCCATTCCATGCTCTAATAGCACTAGGGAAGAAGGAGTATTTGTACAAATTTGTCCTAGCATATGGGACGAGGAATGTGCCTTCATTTTTGTGTCTCTCAGAGTATTTTATTAAATTTTGTTTTTGTATTTGAAGATTATGGTTCAGTGTTTTATGTATAATTGCTACTTTACTTTTGAGTCTTCTGTTCTGAAGGCTTTCTAAATTTAGTGATTTTACTAATGGTGTTACCCTAGTCAAATGTGAATATTCGTTTGTTATGAATCTCACTGCTCTATTTTGTGTTTGTTCCAGTTTCTTAATGTTTTCTTGAGTTGAGGGGTCCCACACGGTGGATGCATATTCTATTATTGGCCTAACCAAGGTTAAATAACATTTTAGTTTTATGTTCTTATTTGATTTATAGAAATTTCTTTTAATAAACCCTAATGCTTTGTTTGATTTTTTTTTATAGTTTCATCAATATGTGGATTCCATGACAGTTTTTCATTTATTATAACACCTAGGTATTTTGCGTTTTTAGTCTGTGTTACTGGTTTGCCATGAATAAGATAAGTGGAATTTATTTGTTTTATTTTTTTTGTTACTCTTAACAACTGACATTTTTCAAATGATCCCATGATAATAAAATGAAATTGAAAAAACAAAAATACACGTTAAATAGTTGAAAAGGAAAAAAAATGAACGCATTTGGTTGAAGGCAAGTAGACTGTAGGTCTAGCCTCATTTGATGAACAAATAATGATTTTAATATTTAAAAAAAAAAGAAACTTTTGTCTGAAAACAAATTGAAATACCAAGGGATTGGCTATGCTTCACTTCCGCCGGATGTATCCAAGTGTCATATATTCAAGTCTTGATTTCCTTCATCTCACTATTATTTAGGAAGATGATTACATACAACCACAACTTTCTACGATCGCTTCTGGAAAATTTAAATCTGCAAATTGGTTTTCTACAAAATATATTATTCTCATTGCCTTATACTTCGTCGGCACACAACAGGGATTCTCGACTGGTTGCGTATTTATCAGCAAAGCTGAATAATAGAAATCCTCGTAACGCTTATAAAAACAGTCCCCATGACAATAGTTTAACTCCAGCCTTTCAGGGGAGACAACCTCAAGACCCCTTGATCTTCCAATGGTTTCTATAAGGTCGATGGTATATGGATACATACAACATTCTGGATTTGGACATGGGCTGGAAATCTGACGCTTATGGCGGCTGTGGGACGTCTCTTTATTAACCTCTATTTGTAGCGAAGGCTCCTAAAATACAAATTTAAAAAAAAAAAGTCAATTTCTAACAACAGTTACAAAATGTGAAAATAAAATGCACAATAAATAAATACAGAATTTAGTTTCAGCATCGCATAGGAGCTGATGATGATATACTAATTTAGATCAATAAAGCTAGGTTTGCCTTTTCAACTCTTCAAACTATCTGGCGCTCTAAGGCATTATCTCTACACAACAAGATACGGATCTATAATACAAACGTTAAGTCTGTCCTTCTATACGGTTCAGAAACTTGGTGAGTCACTAAAACAAATCTGGAAAAGCTCCAGACCTTTGTTAACAGATGCCTAAGCCGGATATTAGGAATTAGGTGGCCAGAAAAGATAACTACTATCGATTTGTGGGAGAGAACTAGACAAAGCCCATAGCCCAAGACATCACAAAACGAAAATGGAGCTGGATAGGACACACCCTGCGAAAACCAGTTACCAATGTTGCAAGGCAGGCACTTGACTTGAACCCACAAGGAAAGAGAAAGTGGGCAGACCCAAGCAAACCTGGAAGAGGTCAGTCATCAGTGAAGCTGAGGGTACTGGAATGACATGGGAGCAGATGAAGAAAGCTGCTTAGAACCGAGTTCGGTGGAGAGGTGTGGTTGCGGCCCTATGCTCCCCCTGGGAGTGCACAGGATTAAGTCAATCGCATAGGAAGCAAATTAAGTGTATTGTAATCACCATGTTCTGTAGTGGCTCTATGGCTGCGCTCAAGAGACTGAAAGGAATGGAAGAGCGGAAGTGCAATGTTTTGATGGTTGTTGATATCCATCTTGCTATGTGATTTATTTTATTAACACTTTCTCTCCTAATGACGATACCCGCGTTGATTCCACCAAAATGTGGTAAATAATTACGGAGAGAAAGAGTTAAACTTGTGTTGCAATTGTTGCATTGCCGCTCAATTGTTTCCTGTAAATGTCATAACATTGGTGTCGAAGTGGGATCATAGGCGACTCAACGGACGAGAGGTAGGTTAGTAATGGCTTCCCCAATTATTAAACAATTAGGCCAACTCTTGATTAAAGAGTTAAAACAAGAGCTTCGATACCGAGGTCTGACGATTGGTGGTAGTAAGGATACACTGACAGCTCGTCTCCAGCAGGCTCTGATTGACGAAGAAGATGATCCGGACAGTTATGAATTCGAGCTCTTATGTAGGATGCAGGAAAACATGGGCGCAATGAGGATTGAACTCCAAGAGAAATTATGTACAATGCAGGTCAATATTGAAAAGATTGACACACTTGATATAGGAATTAAACAATGCAGGACTAACTTGACACAGGGATCAGGACTGAATTGGTATCGGTGAACCTGAAAATAACCTCAATGGAGGTCAAGATGAACCAGAGAGTTACATAGTAGAAAAAGACATAGAAGAACTGAAGGTTCAGTTTGAGAAGGGCTCAGCAAGGCGCCGGTGACTAATACTGGATCAATGTTACCCGAAGTGCCTGGAAAGATGAAACCTCCTGTGTTTGACGGGTTCGTCTCCTGGCCTGTCTACAGAAGACAGTTTGAGGCAGCTGCTACGGTCAACAAATGGGGCAGCGAGGAAGAGAAAGCGACCGCTCTAGTATTGTCCCAAAGAGGAAAGGCTTCCGAAGTACTCCAATCCATGCCAAACCAGTAGGATTACGCTACTCTCGTCCAGGCCATGGAGCTTCGATACGGGGACGAGCACTTACAAAAAGTTTATAGAGTTCAGCTGAAGACCAGACAACAGCGTGTCAGTGAAACCCTACAAGAGCTAAAGACGGACATTGAACGACTTGCCCATCTGGCATACCTCACAGCAGCACAGGAGTTCCTCGAAGTAATCGTCACTGATGCCTTCATCGATGCAGTTCGAGACCCGGAGTTAAAGAAAGTTATTAGAGTTAGTGGCAAGCGTAAGGCCAGCGAAGCCTTTGTGTACGCTCTGTCCTATGAAGCCGCCAAGAACGCATCCAACAACATTCATCATGATCGGAGACTGGAAGTCCAGGAAGATCTAACACAAATGCTCAGACGGATTACGGAGGTCCTCGAAGAGTATAAGCCGAGCTAATCACAGGGAATTCATTGTATGACCAGTATCCGTTGTTGGAACTTTGGTGAATCTGTGCATATACAAAGGATGTGTAGAAGAACACATAAACCGCAAGCGGCGATTCAGCACATATCAGAAACGGGTGCGCGACCTGGAGCCTATGGCTACCAGGAAAATTAACATTCGCCGGCTTCAAGGGGCAGGAACCGGCGATCGGGGAAATGAAAGCCCCTGCCAACGTCGTTCCAATCGCCTTGCTGAGACAGAGTAAGAGTCTTAAGGTAGAAGGAACAACTTTAATTTGGAAGTATCGGTTTCTCATTGAGACGGACACTGGTGCTTTACGTTCAGTCATTCGGCCAAATGTCGCGAACAGAAATAAGACTACAAATGTGAGTTTAGTTTTTAATGCCTTAAAACAGCCAGTGGAGAACTGTTGCCTATACAAGGACTGGCGGACTTAAAATTCAAGCACGGATATCAGTCCTTTGTGCATGTTTTTTTTTTTTTTTTTATAGCAAACATAACTGATGACAGCATTTTAGGTCTTGATTTTATGCAGAAATTTGGGTTTTCCATTAACATTGGCGCAGGAACTTTGATGTATGGAAATGTACAGATTCCTTTGCTCGGCGATAACGCTGTAGGGAAGGGTAGAATGAGGAAAATACTATTGACGGAGGATACAAGTCTGCCTGCACAGTCCGAATCAATTATTTGGGGAAAGTTAGAAAGCGGACATTAAAAGTCGGGAACGGCGATAATCGAAGGAATGGAAGACAACTACGACGGGGTGGCTGTAGGGAAAACGCTGGTCATGATCGGAGAGTACCTGCCAGAATCACGAACCTTGGTTTGAGCGAGAAACACCTACGAAGAGAATGTTCCATTGCTCAATGCTATATGATCGATCTAATTAGGAATTGCTACATTGACAACGCTACTGTTGCACCCACTGAATCAGTCAACCCTCAGATTGCCAGGCTTTTGACAGAAACCAAAGTGAACGTATCTGAAGAGCAGTATATCAAAGCAGAAGAGTTGATAATTAAGTTTGCTGACATTTTACCATCTGATGAGTCAGACTCTGAAAGATATGGTGCAACATAGGATCGATACCGGAGTAACCAGACCCGTTCGGCAGCCACCAGCTTTCTTTCAATTCCGCACAGTGCAATTGGAAAGCTCTCGCATTCCCTTAGACGCTCCCACAGAAATTTTGTTTCCCTATTCTGTTAGTCTAATCACTTCGTCTAGGGTTCGTTTCCACCCGAGTGCCACGCTAAGGCAGAATAGGGTACTTGGGCTTTGCAGGACCTGCAGGCTGTTAAGGTCATCACCCTGTACAAGAACAAAGGTGACAAGAAGAGACTGCAGCAATTACAGGGGAATTTCTCTTTCAGTCGTTTCGCGAACCCCTGGGGGTCCGCGTACCACAGATTGAGAAACACTGGTCTAAACACTCTAAATCGTGAACATATGTCTGCGGGTATTCCCGCAGACAGTGGCGTAGCAAGCCATGTGCGAGTGGTGCGGGTCGTCAAATGGTGAGGGGCATCAAACTAACGATAC